GAGGAGACAAATGTAAAGCAGAGAATATATAGAAAACATACACTTTTAAAAGAGACAGGAGGCCACTTCTGAGAGGCAGGCACAATTGGCTGAAAGGGCAGGGGGACGGGGATGGGCCTTCTCGAAGACAACCCATCCAAACACCTCCTCTTACTGTCTTCAATTTCTGCCTCCATTAATGGAAGCATGAAGCGAGGCCAAGCACTTGCAAAGCTTCTAAAGATAGCATCCTATCTTCAGACCCTTTTTCTAGGTCCTGCCAATCATATTCTCATAAACATCTGCAGCCTTCTGTACCAATGGGGTGCAAGCTATTAGCAAAAAATGAAGCTCCAATTACAACCACTTAAAAACAAGGAAATTGTATATTATGTACTCACTGCTAAAATAACCAAAATGAGCAGACTGATTTATGCTGGATTTGCCTAAGGACTTTCCATTAACATCAGAGCTTCTATGCTGGGCAGTCGTTATACTCCTATTTCGTGGCATATCGCACATCCAGTTTGCCATGGATTCCACATGATACATAAATGAAATATATAAAACAAGGTCTACAATGCTCATGTGGCAAATCAGCGGCAGCGTCAGAAGAAAGTTCAGACCTGAGTTTACGGATTACAGGCTTCAGGATGAGCCTTTCTTCGGGAACTTGGCCCACTTGGTGAAAGAGCTCCACGTGCTTCATTATGATCCCGAAGGCCCCCCTGAGTCCTTCTTTAGCACAGTGGAGCCCACCATGAGAGGACCAGCCCAGTTCCTTCCTTTCCCATGGCAATGTCATGGTCAGCAATACAGGTCAACAGCAGCCTTCCAAACGATTACGGCTGATGGTTTTTTTAAAATATGTGATTAAAATTACAGAAGTTATAACATTTGTAGCTTCTAAGGAACATCTGAATTACAGGAGAGTAAGGGGAAAAGGGTATTCCAAGAGGGTTTTTAAGAGGGTTTTAATTTCCATGCTGAGTGGGTGAGTGAAAATCATTTGGTTTAGAAAACTTAATACATAAATGTTTATTATGTGGAAGACATTGTGCTAGGCTCCAAGACATGAAAATAAACGATGTAGTCCCTGCACTCAAGTTTAAATTCCATTGGGGAGGCGAGGGGGAGGCACGCCAGAGGAATACAAATAAGAAAACCCAAGGTAGAACATGATGGAGGTTAGTAATGCCACAGAACATCTGAGGAAGGGATTCCTCCATTTAGGGCCATTTCAGCTGGGAGGGTGAGCAAGCTAAGCTCAGCCTTGAAGGAAGAAAAGAGAAGAGTGCATCCCAGGCACGGAGACATCCTGCAAATGCCCAGAGGTGGGAGACAACATATGAAGTCAGGGAACCCCTAGGAACACGACTAAACTGAAGTACAGTATATGAAGAGGGGCAACGGGAAGGAAGGCTGGCCCAAGAGTTAAGGAGGACCTTACATGCCAGACCAAGGAGCTAGTATTTTATCTTAGAGGCAAAAGGGAGCCACCGAGACGGGTGGAACATGGAGGAGTGAGGGGAAAACCCCGGGTTCCAGTGGGGGCGGCCAGCTGCGCGGCAGTGGATGACCACGTCCCTTTCCTCAATCTGTAAGACTGAGACTGATGTTGGCACTGCATCCTGGGCAGCCTGACAGAGTAAAGCCTCCAGTCCGACTGACAGCCTAGCCCAGAGGGTGGCCCAGGACAAGGCTCTTCACCCCACCATGTTTTAGCAGCAAATGAAGACACTTCAAGTTGCAGAGAAGAGCCATACGCATCGGCAAAGGGAGTTCCTTATTGGAGGGTCCCTACATCAATGAAATCCCTGGCCCTGGCCCTCTCTCTTAGGCATGAGGAGCTGTGCATGAATGTCTTGGCCTCACTACCTTGGATCCTACAGAGAAGCATCAGATAGCCACACACAGACCAGATAGCAACCTCAACCCTCGGTGAAGTGTAAGGAGAATGAAGCCTTCCTCTCAAAGAACAGATGTGCTCACTATCCATGGTAACCCTTCAGCCCTCGTCCAAACACTGTGGAATGTCTCGAGCTGATGTGGGATCAGCAAGCACCAGGAGGCGTGTACAGCTCACTTCTCCTCCTCCTTCATTTTTCTATAGCATTTCATTAACACTCATCCTATAAGCTCCAGGACCGTCTCTTGGCAGGTCTATAGTACTAGTCCCAGATTGTCTCCTGAAGGCCAGTCTCACATCACTAACCACCTAGACATTCACAAGTGGGTGTCCTGGAGGCATCTCAGCTACCCATGGTCCAAATGGAGTTCATAACCTCCCTGTCCCCAACCCCACTTCTAACTTCCTACCTCTGTCATCCTCCATATCCAAGGAGGTGCCAAGTCTCATCTATTTTACCTACACAATACCTCTCACATTCGTCCCTTTCTCTCCACTCACAGGGCCACCCCACTAGTGGAGGCACTCGGCCCTATTTCGCCAGACTAACGCAATCACTTACTAAAATGCAACAGCCTCCAAATCTCCAGGCCTCCTATAATCCACAATCCACCAAGCTGTTCGAAACGTACCAACGACTCTATCTTCTTGAACACTTCCTATCCCATCCCTTCCCATCCCATCCCTTCCCATGTTTTCTGTCATCCCCTTCACGATTGCCCCTTCTCTAATCTCTCCTGCCCCGGCCTATATACCCTCATCCTCTCTTTCTTTAAAAACCCTCGAGGTCCTGCCATCCCAACTAACTAGCAGCCTCTCCCTTTTGCAGCTAAACTCTTCTGAAGAGGCCACCTGCACTCAGTGACTCTACTTTCTCTCCTCTCATTTTCTTCTAACAGTTCTGACTTCCCACCTAATCAAGGCAGTGAAAATGCTCTCTCCAAAGTTACTAATGATCTCTTAATTGCCAAATCTCTATCTTCATCCTTGCTTCACTCTCTGCAGCATCTGCCATGTGCCAACTTCTCCTCTCTGCTGGTCCTCTTCCCTCCCGCATGATCCCTCCTTCTCAGTCTCCTCAGCTGGATTTTCATCCACGTCAGACCCACTACGAGTGTCCATTCCCCAAGGCTAAGTCCTGGGCCCTCTTCTCTTTTCTCTCCACATTCTCTCATAAGGGATTTAGAGCTCCCAAGGGTTCAATTACCATCTCTATGGAGATGATTCTCACATCTCCACATCCCAGCTTTATCTCCTGAGCTCCAGCTCCAGTCCCACATCAATGGCAGTGGCCTACTGAACATTCCCAACTGGAAGCCCTATGGACAACCCAAACCCAACATGTCCAAAACGGAGCTCAGCATCCCCCCCAAACTTCCTCTACTTTCTAACTACCCAATTTCTATCAAGGGCCTCGCTTTCCTTCCATTCACCCAATTTCATTTTCCACTCTTCACTTTCTCTCACCCCTTATAGCCAAACAGTTGCCAAGTCTTATTTCTATTTCCACCACATCTGTCATGTCTTCTTTTCCCTCATTCTTTCTGTCTGGCCAACTGCAATCGCTTCCTAACTGGTCTCTCAGCCTCCAGCCTCTCTAAGAGAATCAGTTGCTTTCTTAAGGAAGACCTTCTGGTGAAGAGTCTGATCACCTCCTACCTGGCCTGCTGCAGCAGCCTGCCTCAAGGATCTCTCCACTCCACTCTAGCCTCCACTTGGGTGGTCAGAGTGATCTTCCTAAAGCTCAGGTCTAACAATGTCATTCCCACACCCAGACACCCCAACTCCACTGGCTCCCAATAGGGAGGATCAAATCAGATATCCTCTGCTTGGCTGAAAATGACCTCATAGTGGCCTCACCTTTGTTTTCTTTGTTTTGTCCCTATTCCTGAGTGCCTCCACTATTGTCTGAGTGTCCTCAGTGCCCCGGATGCCCATCATAAGCACTTAATAAATGCCTGTGGACAACTGACTGATTCAATGGGTTTGTATTCTCATGAACAAAGGTAATCTCTCCAAGGAGTGCAGATCTCAACAGATCCAGGATGCTCCCTCCTGTACGGCTAGTCCACTCTCCATACAGAAAAGTAAACAGCAGTTACAACAGTGCACAGCATGCCTTTCTCCTCACCTCATACTATTCATTCCTGACTCTTGGACAGTAGATGAAAATGATTAAAAAGACTGTTCTGAGTAGAGTCTCTTTCCTACAACATATTGATATTTTGTATATGTCAGATATAAAGATAGAGTTCAGGAAAAATGGGGGCCTGATTTCAAAATGATAATTAATTTACACAATAAGTACAGTGTTGGACCTGAAGTCAGGAAGCCCTGAGTTCAAATCCAGCCTCAGACCCTACTAACTAACTGTGTGACATTGGGCAAATCATCTAACCTCTCTCAGTCTCAGTTTCTTCATCCATAAAACTGGGATAATACTAGCACCTACCTCACAGGATTGCTGTGAGGATCCAAAGAGATAATAGTTGTAAAGCACTTTGTAACCTTACAGCACTACATAAATGCTATCATTTGATACCATAAGAACTGGAGGAGCTAATTAGGGGACAATTATAAACAAAATAGCCATTAAGCTACAAAACACAAGTTACAAATTCTCATAGCTATAATACATATGCTAAATAGTAAATTATACCTGGAGTTTTAAAAAATATTCCAATTGTTTTAATCTCTTTTTGAATCTCTAATGTGAATTTTTACGGGCAACAAATCACACAAAATAGCTGAATTTAAGATACACGTGGCTTCCCCTCCCGTCTCCCCTCCTTTGCGCAGGCGGTCCTCCAGGCCTAGAATCCACACTTTCCTCACCTCTACTTCACAGAATCCCTAGCTTCCTTCACAACTCAGGTCAAACAGTCTCTTCCACAGCTCCTACTGCCTCGTCACTCAGAAGTTACCTTGAATATCCTTTGCATCTACTTAGAGATGCACAAGTTGACTCCCCCAGGAGAACAGAAGGGTTTGACCTTGTGTCTCCAGTCCCAACACCACGATGTTGGTAGACACCTAATAAACGTGTACTGATTAAATCTCATTGTAGAGAAGAGGTGTGATGCAACAGAGGAACAGAAGAACTTTGGGGCTTTGTCACTTCCTGGCCACGTGACCTTCAATTCTGAGCCTATGCTTCTTTGTAAAATGTAGATGACAGTGATATCACCAACCTTCTAAGTTTGTGGAAAGAAAAGTCTTCTGTACACCAGGTAAATGCATATATATTTTTTCTACCCTCTGATGCTGAAGAAGATGATAGTGGTGGAATTCAAGTAATTATAACTATAAAATATATAATTATAAAGCATAGCCTGTGTATGTTATATTGCACTGGGGAGAACAGGGGGTGTCAACCCTAGCCTTTCCAAGGCTACGCCCATAGAACACAAGCTCCTACACAAAGTAGGACAGGCCCCACAAGAGCTTATGTGTCTGCATCATCCAAGAAACAGAAAAGACAAGCCCAAAGAAGGCCTTCAACCAGGTTGGCTGTAAGATTATTCATTTGGGGGCAAGGGAAAACAGCAGCTCCCAGGAACCACAGCAGGTCACAACCCACAACTGTTAAGTATTAAAGGGCCTGGGATATACAATAACAGAATTATGTGCTGAGGAAGACATAAAGAAAAATAAGATTCAGTCTCTACTACGTAACAGGAATGGTCAGGCTCATGAACCAACAAATATCATACTCATTTTTCAAGTGAGATAAAACACCTTTTCTTGCTTTCATAACAAAAAATGAGGAGGGAAAAGGACAAAATTAATTTTAACTCAAACTTAGGGGAAAAAATACCTTTGGGCTAAGGTTCAGCATGGCAAGTTTCTTCCTGAGAAGGCATTAAAAAAAAGTCTCTTGCAGGCTTTTCTCAATAGCATTAACTGGCAGGCTCGCTGTGGTACTTTCTAGTAAAAGAAAAGTAGTAAGTAATAATTATTTATCCCTTCATTCGAATCAGGATACACTGTAAACACTGAAAACTTTCTACCAAAAAAAAAAAACCCACTCAACTTTCCAGTAGAGGTGAGAAGTCCTATTTCTTCAAGGCCAAGAAAAATTGCATTGGCCCGTTCCTCAGACCAGTTTCCTAGGACAGGATGTCCTTTTCAAATTCAGTCTGTCCATCCAAATTGCTATGGCTTTAGAGGCAAAGCTTCACAAAGATGAGGCTTTTCCACCAATGCACTGAAGCAACAGTACTACCTTCATCCAACTGAACAGGAGTATCTGCAGAAAAGAGCATCCTCAGTGCCCTAGACCTCATCCTTCAGCACGTGCGCCCATCTTTAAATGCCCCTACAGAGGCAGGCCAACGAAGGCCCAGCCACAGGAAAAGGAGGGCGAGGCTCTAAAAACCTCCAGCTGCCATCTTAAGAGAGTGATTCCTGTGAAGCCGACAGCTTTCATCCCTAGCCGTCGTGCTACCACGTGGAGATGTGTGCATGTTTACATTTACACAGTAAAGAAGCACTTAGAGAACATGGTTTAGGTCTGACTTCTAGAATCAGGCATTACTTTACAATCAATACCTTGTATGTAGGTAAGTCTGTCTACACCTTTCCACCCTTTTCCCAACCTGTCTCCAAAATTCATCCAAAAAACTACCCTTCCAAAATGTGTAACAACAACTGGTATTTACAGAATGCCTGAAGGTTTACGAAGCACTTTACATATACTCTCTTACTGGGCCCTCACAACAACTTTGTGAGACAGGTGATATTATTACTACCATTTTACAGATAAGTAAACTAAGTCTAAGAGAGGTTAACTGTCTTGCTCACAGTCATACAGCTAGGGGATAGGCAAGATTTAAATTCAGGTCTTCCCGAGACCAGCACTACCCACTACACCATCCAGCTAACTCTCTCCTGATTCTCCTCCAACCTACTACCTCCCCATCTCCTTTGCTGGATCTTCACATCACCCCTGGGGATTCCCCCAGGTTCTCTCCTGGGCAGTGGAGTGGTACAGTAGATAAAAAAGCCGAACTTAGAGTCAAGAAGACCTCAGTTCAAATCCAGCCTCTGACACTTACTAACTGGGTGAGCTAGGCAAGTCACTTCCCCTTTGTCTGCCTCAGTTTCTTTAACTGTAAAATGGGGATAATAATAGCATTTCCTTCCAAGGGTCATTGGGAGGATCAAATAAGATATATTTGTAAAGTGCTCCACTCGATAAAATGATCTACAATAATTCCAAAGGATTTGTGATAAAAAACACCATCTACCTCCAGAAAGAGAACTGATGTCTCTGAGTGGAGACTAAAACAGATTTCCTTTCATATTATTATTCTTGGTTGCTTTTTTTCCCCTACATGGCTAATATGGAAATATGCTTTGTACCACTTTACATGTATAATGGGTATCATATTTCTTGTCTTCTCATGGATAGGGGAGGAGCTGGAGGGAAGGAGGAAGGGAGAGAAAGAATTTGAAGAGAACTTTCAAAATTTAAAAATGAATGTTAAAAAGAATTCTTAAAAATTATAAAAAGTTTTTCAAAGTTGCTTAGCACAGTGCCTGGCACACAGCTGGTGTTTAATAAATGCTTGTTCTACCCCCTTCCCCCTTCTTCTCTTCTATCTCTCTACTGTCACTAGGTCATCAGCTGGAACGGTTTGAATTATCACCTCTATATGCAGAAGACTCTCAGATCCACTTGGCCAGGCCTAACTTCTCTCCCCCCCGCTCCAGTCTTGTATATCCAACTACCTAGTAGACATCTCTAACAGGATGTCTCATAGACATCTTCAAACCCCACATGTCCATGTGTCTTCCCCCTCTTCCTAACTTCCCTGTTACACTGAGGGTGCTGCCACCCAGCCTCCCAGTCACCCAGTCTCAAAGCCAGGCAGCATCCTCTGCTCCTCATACTCACGCCCACAGGCCAACCAATTGCTCCGTCCTATTGCTTCTATTTTCATGACATCTCTCACACATGGCTCCTTCTCTCCTCAGACACTGCCCCCACCCTGCTGCAGGCACACCTCGATATTACAACAGACTGCTGGTTGATCTCCCTACCTCAACTGTCACCCTAAGCTAGCCTATCCTCCACTCAGATCAAAGTCACCTTCCTAATGCATACTCTGACGATGTCATTCCTCTATCCAATATATTCCAGTAGCTGTCTACTATCCTCCAGGATCAAACAGAAAATCTTCTGTTTCGCTCGTAAAGTCCTTGATAACCTGGCCCCATCCCCACGTTCCCAAGCTTCTTGCATCTTATGCCCCCCCAACTTGCTCTGAGCTCCAGTGCCACAGGCCTCCCGGCTGGCCCTCTCACACATCTGTCTCCTGACTGAGCAGTTGCACTGGCTCCTCCCCACCCCCAAATGCCTGGAACCCTCTCCCTCCCCATCTTTGCCTCCTAAAGGCCCACCTTCCACCTCCTTAATCTTACTTATTACTCAGTGCCTTCCCACTGAGACGCCCCCCTCCCCGATTTATCCCAACTATGGCCAGTCTTCCCTTTGTTCGCATGCTTCCCCTTTAGCCAGGAGCTCCAGGAGAGCAGGGGCTGGTTTTTTCTTTTGTTTTAGCTTCTTTTGCATCCCCAGGGCTTAACACAGCGCCTGGCACATGATACAGGCTAGCTGACTGACTGATGGATGACCGCCCTTGGCGGCAGAAAGCTTCTGTCTGATCCTCATCCTGCTCTATGCTAAGGCCCGGTTCCCCTCATCTGCAAAATGAGGGTAGTTATACTCATGTACTAGAACGTGAGCTCTCTGAAGACAGGGGCTGTTTCATTTTTGTCTCTATGTACCCAGCACATAGACCAATGTCTGTAGACAGCAGAGGTTTAATAAATGTTTACTGATTGATTAGACTACCTACCTCATTCATGGGAGAGTTGAGAAAACCTGAAAGCTTTTGATACAAAAGTGAGCTACAATCATTATTTGTACACCAGATCACAGAAGACTAATGACAAAACAAAGTGTTCCTTTTGCTTTTCAAGATATCTGCCAGAGAGCCAAGAAAGGAGAAGGAGCCTTCCCTGTCTGCACTTAGCCCTTCTGTCTTCATAAGCCACATGGAATCTCAAGTCAGAAAGGTCTCATGTATCACCCATCTGTCAATCCCCTCACTTTGCAGATGAAAAGACTGAGGCCCAGAAAAGGGAATTTATGCGTCAAGGCAACAGAGACCCTGGGCCTACAAATGCAATGTACTTCCCACCACGCCGAAATGACTTGTTCTTGCTGATTGCTTCCAGCTTTATTAGCTCATTTCAAGTCTCTTTCCATTTTCCCAGGTCACCAAAATGGAGATATTCCAAATGAGCCAAGCGAATGTCTACTTACCCTTCAGGAGCTAAACTGCAACACTGCTTGAATTGAGGATGATGATGACACCAGTAAACATACTGCCTCTTAAGGTTAATAAAGGGCATCTCTTAGGTTCCCATGACCTAGTCCTGTACTTCACCTCAACCCCAGAGCCACAGACAGACATACCCTGGATCTCACTACCACTGAGAACTGTTCTACTTCCTCATTCCTGAATTCCAAAATGCCTTTACTCCTAATCCTTTATCCTTCCAGCTTGCCCTCTGCCTCAGCATTCTGGTTCTTCTCTATTCTTCCCTCCCCAAGCTATCACTTTGGCATTGGCTACACTCTCCTCCCTTCCTTACTCTCCTCTCCTCAGTGAACCAATTCCACTCTCTATTTCCTTCTACCCTCAAATCTCTTTCCAAATTCCAACTCTGGCCTGGGCCCACCATCTGCCTCCTTTATTCCTGTTCACTTGCTGCTGAACAGAGCTGGAAGAAATCAAGAAACCATGTTGACTGGGTTCACTCCAAATCTGTTATGATCTAATATCAACTGGGATCTCAGTGTAGCCAAAAAACCTTCTATTCCTAAGTAATTCACTAGCCTGCTCTTTCTCCACAGTGGGGGTTCTACACATTATCTCTCCTCTGACCTCCCACAGCAGTCCCTGCCCCCATTCTCTGAACTGAGGACCTTGCCTCAGATTTCATCCAAAAAATGAGACCATATCCTAAGAGCTCCCCCTTCTCATTATCATATTCAGATCTTTCCCCACTGCCTCTTCCTTCACTCCATTCTCCAATAAAGAGCTGGCCAATCTCTTTAATAATAGCTAATAACAATTAATAGACAACACTGATATAGAGCCTTAAGGTTTGCAGAACACTTTACAAACATGATCTCATTTGATGCCCACAACAGCCTGGGGAAGTAGTTAATATTATTATCCCCATTTTACAGATAAGGAAACTGAGAGGAGTTAAGTGACTTGCCTGCGATCACACAGTGTTTGAAACAGGACTTGACCGAAGGTCTTCTTGCCTCCCACACATGTTCCCCTTGATCTCATCCCCTCCACTTCCCCACTGTCATCTCCACACTCTTTGGTCCCTCGTTTTCTCACTACCTAGGGCTTCCTTCTCTGCTGCCGACAAACATGCTTTGGTCTCTTTTATCCTTAAAAAACTAAACCAAACCATCATTTGATTCCTCCATTCCCATTCACCATCTTCCTCTACTTCTCCCTTTCACAGCTAAACTCCTTAATAAAGCCACCTATGTTACAAGGCTCCCCTTCCCCTCCTCTCACTGACTTTAAAACCTCTGCAAATCCCCCTTTCTCATTCAAATGGAGCTGCCTTCTCCATAGTGACCAAGTATCTCACAATGGCCAGATTTTCTCAATCATTTGTCCTTCCTGACCACTGCTGGTCACCCTCCTCTGGATGCTTTTCTCCTCTATGGATTTTCACGCCATTTCTCTCTCCACGTTCTCCTCTGATTTGTCTGATCACTCTTCATTCGCCTCTTTGTTCTTCATCAAGATCACATGCACCTATCACAAGTGCCCCAAAGGCTCTGACCTGGGCCTTCTGCCCTCCTCTCGCCATCAGCAGCTCTGGATTCAGTTAGCATCACGATGTAGATGACCCCCAGAACTAGAGAGCCAAGCCTAACCTCTCTCCTGTGCTATCCTCAAGCATCCAATGCCTCTAAGACATCTCCAACTCAACATACCCAAAACAGAACTCACTGTCCTTCCCCAAAATCATCCCACCTTCTGACCTTCCCCATTGCTGTCAAGGGGAAGACCGTGCTTCCGGGCACCCAGGCTTGCCGCTCGTTCTTATTCTTACTTACTCATTTGCATCCCAAGTATCCCAATCCCTTGCCAAATACCGGCATTTCTACCTGCAGAAGCGCTCTCATGCACATCTCTTCTCCACTCACACAGCCATAGCCCTGGTTTAGGCCTTCGTTGCCTCTTACTTCAACCATCATAACAGTCTTTTTTTTTTCTTATTTGTCCTTCCCACTTCCCTCCCCCAAAGAATGAAAAACCAAACCCAGATAACAGATATGTAGGTAAGCAAAACAAATTCCCACACTAGCCAAGTCCCACAAGTCTATGTCTTAACTGGCACCCTGAGTCTATCACCTCTCTATCAAAAGGTAAGGAGGATGCACGTTTCATCAGTCCTTGGGAATTATGACCAATTGTTAAATTGATCAGAGTTCTTAAGTCTTTCCAAGTTGTTTGTCTTTACATTATTGTGGTTATTAAATAAACTGTTCTACTGGTTCTGCTCACTTCATTCTGCATCAGTTTATACGTGTCTTCCCAAGTTTCTCTGAAATCATCCCCTTGACCATTTCTTACAGTCTGAAAGCATTCCATTACATTCATACAGCCCAATTAAGGTAATCATTTCCCAGCTGAGGAACAGGCCCTTCATTTCCAGTTCTAGACAACCACTGGAAGCCATCTCTAGTTGTCCTGATCTAGATCTGGCCACTGGACCCAGATGGCTCCAGAGGAGAAAGTGACTTTGCACAGACCTCCTCCGCTTAAATCCAATTCATTTCCAAGTTATGGCATCACCTTCCTGATGGCATGGTCCTCTTCAAGAACAAAAGACAAACCACCACCACCACCACCACCACCACAAAAGAGCTCCTATAAATATTTCTGTACATATAGGCCCTTTGCCTCTTCCTCTGATCTCACTAATATATAGACCTATCACTGGATCACTGGATCCAAGAGTATGCAGTTTAATAACTTTTAGGAGCATAGCCCCCAGCTGTTCTTCAGAATGGCTGGACCAAGTTCTTAGCCCCACCCCCCCAACAATGTGGTACAATTAGCCTTCTAACTGATGTCCTTAACTCAAGCCATCCCCCAACTCCAATCTATCCTCCATTCATCTGTGATGAAGACTCATCACTTCAGAGATTGCCCCGGCTCCCACCTTCCCCTAGGGTGGTGGAAGGGAAAAGATGGGAGAAAGAAAAAGCTAAGTGCTTGACAGCTTTTTAAAATGAAGTATAAGTCTTCCCATTTCACCATCATCACCATGCCTGTGAGCTCCAGTAGCTCCCAATTACCTGCAGGAACAAAACTAAAATCGTCCTTTTGGCACAGAAATTTCTCCTAACCTGATCCCTTTCTGCCTGTCCACACCCACCCCCTCTGCTCTCACCTCTGCACTGTGGAATCCTCAGGCCTGAAATGCTTCTAAGTCCCACCTTCAGCAGGAGGCCTTTCTTGGCCCATCCCCTCTATGCCAAAATCCAATTCAATTCAATAAACACAAAGCAAGGCCCAGTGCTGGGGATAGATACAAGGCAGTCCCTGCCTCCAAAGAGCTTACAAACCAAAGGAGACAGACAACACATAAACAAATATTTACAAAGCAAGCTGTGTACAGGATAAACTGGAGAGAATTAGCAGAGGGCAGACACTAGAATTAAGAAGGTTTAGAGAAGGATGCCTGCGGAAGGTGGGATTTTAGTTGGTACTTAAAGGAAGCCAGGGAAGTCACTAGTCAGAGCTGAGGAGAGAGTATTTCAGGCATGGGGGACAGCCAGAAAAAATTCCTGGAGCCAAGAGATGGGAGTGTCTCATTCATGGAACAGCCAAGAGGCCAGCGTCCCTAGATCAGAGTATATGTCAGGAAGCAAGGCATAAGAATACTGGAAGGGTAGGAGGGGGCTAGGTTATAAAAGGCTTTGAATGCCAAATGTCAAACACAGCATCTTGTATTTGCACCTGGAGGTAATAGGGAGCCACTGGAGTTGGGGGTGGGGGAGGAAGTGTTACATGATGAGACCCTTATTTTAAGAAAAATCATTTGTGACTGAATGTAGGATACGGCGGAGTGGGAAGAGACTCGAGGCAGACAGGCCCACCAGCAGCTATTGTGATAGTCCAGGCACGAGGAGATAAGAGCCTGCACCAGGATGGGGGCAGTGCCAAGAGATGACCTTTTATCTCTTCTGCACATATCTTGTATGTGCCTAGCCATTTAGATACTGTCTCTGCCAGTAGAATGTGCTCTCCTTGTGGGCAGGGCCTATTGCACCTTTTGCATATATCCCAAACTTAACACAGTGCCTAGCACGCTGTCAGTGCCTAATAAATGTCTACTGAACGTCACTTGATCCTCACAATGACCCCATGACGTGTTATTATCATATTCATTTTCCATAAAGAAATGGGAACTCAGAGTGTAAGTAACCCGCCCAGGGTCACACAGTAAGTGTCTGGGGTAAGTCAGGGCCTCCGGACTCCAAACCTAGGGTAGTATCCACTCCCTCCCCTGGCTGCCTCATTAATTCAAATCTCGGATCAATGTGACGGGAAACCCTTACTGCTCTCTCTCACGGTGTGCTCCTTGTAGGTTTTCTGTTTAAGCACGCACATATACAGAGGTTTTATGCTGTGAATGCCCTGACAGAGTGACAAATTTTAAAGGAGATGTCCTATTTTATAAGTGAAGATTGTATGCCAGCGACCGTTCCCTCACGCGTTCGTCCTTCTTATGGAAACAAATGTGGAGAGATCTCTCAAATCTGAGATGGAAATGTAACTGAGAAACGTTTAACAAAATAAATGACCATGTGATAACAACACAGAGAGAGAGCACTGGGTCAGGGTTAGAAGCCTTGACAATATTTCATCAGCCCAACTGAAAATTATCAAATGCCCAAAGTTTCTGGTGAAGTTTCTGGGTGCCTGTCTTATCACAGTGACTTAAATGCAATGCCCTCAATGATCTTCTTGTTCTTTTCAACACATCAAATGAATAAAAAAGCTGCTTGTTTCTACTTTCAGATGTTCATCTCTGACTGCCAAGTCCAAGTCTCTGTCAAACTGACGTACACCACACTTGTACCAGTCCCAGACCAACAGTGACAGAAGGCACAAGTAACTCCATGGTGCAGCTATACTTACTAGAGGACCTTGTTTGAGGTACAGGGGACACCCAGCACTCAGGCTTCGGTGAACAGGCACACAGAGGGAGGCAGGACCCCTCCAGGCAGAACCCCATAAACTGAACCCCCCCCAGGTGGAGGGCGGTACAGCGAGGAGAGCACCGGAAGTGGGGTCAGAGCACCTAGGATCAAAGTCCAGCTCTTTCATTTACTACCCATGTGACCTTGAACAAGCCAAGTCATCTCCGGGACCCTTCTCTGTGAAATAAGGGAGCTGGGCTGGTGGAGAGCCAAGGTTCTTTGCAGCCCTAAACCCATAATATGACTGTGATCCTGGAGAGCACAGACAGCTCAAGTAGATTTTACAGTGGGCACCCTGTTCTGTCTCATGATGCCACCATCTCCAATGACAACCATCTCTGCACTGCCTACCAGATCACATTACCACTAAATAATCTTTCAAAGGTTTCATGCTTTTATCACTCCCCTTTCAAAGAAATGGATTATTTATCCCTTTTTTTGATTAGTTAACTTGATTAGTAATAGATTTTGTTTTGACACAGAGACTTAAGAAACACTCAAACCCCCTCCTCCAAAGCACACTCCCTGAAAACAGTTCTGTTATCAACTGTTAGCAGAGAGAAGGAATGTGCCCTTTATTACTAGTCACTAGCACTGACTACATAGTACTGGCTTGCTATTTTTCTAGAGATAAAAGAGAAAATGAAACTATATAGATATTTTACATATATATGTATACACACACACACACACACACACACACACACACACACACGGCATAAAATTAATGCCATTTTTCTATCTTTATTAATCAGCCATTAAGATGGCTTCTCAGACAATGAGGACCCAAGACAAGAAGACAGACTAGATCAGCAAAGGTACACATTCATCTAGGTAAGACTACGGAATTCAGTGGTTTTTAGTAATCAACTGACTCCACTTATTGTGCAAATCCTCCGAACCACCGAGTTTGGTGAGCACCCATTATCAAGTTCCCTTTGTGAAACTCCATTTATTTCAACACTAAGTGAATTACAACAGCGAAGGTAGGTTGTTTCTACATCACATTTGCAATGTGAAGCCCATTTCCAGAGCAATCTGAGACAATGTTGACCAAAAATCCACAGGCAAATATAGAGCCAAGCTGTGGCATCAGCATTAGAGAATGAATACCTATGGATTCCAACTTCTGTCTCCACACTGCACCTCCCTAGCCTCTTCTCCACCCCTCAAAACCCTAGCTGCCTTTCTGGTGGAAGCTAAGAGTTCAGGGCAGGACTTGCTTCCTTTGTTTTATGCTAGGGCCTTACCTTTAGGATTCTCTCCAGAGGCACTTCCGCTTGCAGGGCAATCACCATCTCCCCCCTCCTCCTGAAACCTGCCAGCCTTCATAAACACACCTGGGGCATCCCAAGTCAAGTCAACCCTGAATACAGGGGCCTTCCACTTTAAGCTGTCAATGTGCTCTTGGAAAAAATCTGTGTGTAACTTGAATTGATGTAGATCAAACCATTTTCCCACTGGCACTAATTTAAGAGATAATTCATCTTAATTTATAACTGACTTTCAGGAAGGCTGTGGCTCCTAAAACATTAGCTTTAAATTTCTATAATGATTTGCCACTTCCTCTCTCCCCCACCCAACACCACCCCATCTCCACCATGGTTGGTCAAATACAAAATAAACAGTAAACTCTTGTGCTCTGCAAAGGGAACCTTTCATCAAAGGAAGAATTACGCTCCAATCGATCTGCTTGGAAAGTCGAGCATTCACTTATGTCGTCATAAGAGGAAACATGACAAGGGTGCTATCACACCAAGGTATAGGGAACATACACTCTTAGGATGATGGGCTTTCTGGCCTGCTTCATAAACCAACAACCAACATTCCTCCCAACCTCCCGTACAACAACACCAATAACACAGAATCACACATTACGCCTACAGTAACTTACCATGTGAAGGGCACCCAATAAAGAGTTGCCATCTACCCCCAGGGCCCCTATAACATCACAATGCCTATGGCACAACTGTGCCAAATGCAAACAAGAAGAGAACGCTCTCCATGCTTCTTTTTCAGTAAGGCCTGATAAATGAGGCCAACTCGGTAAAATGACCAAGATACTAGAACGTCCCCATATGGAACTCTTCCACCCTGGGTTCTCCACTAAAGAGAATATAGACACTGCCAGAAGAAGAGAGAGCGAGAGCCCTACACCGTTAGAGAAGGTTTGTGGTGCACAAAGTTCAGAAGAGCACTGTCCTCATAGCTTCTTTTCCAAGATGTGATACATATAAAATGCCCCAATTTCTATCTTTACAAATACATTGTAATCCTTTTCTGAGCAGCTTGCATGCTGTTCTGCAGGGTTCCTGGAGTTACTGATTGTGGGACTTTTCTACCATCTTCACTCTCTCTAAAATAACTTTCCCACCCACTTACTACCAGGTCAAGAAAATGCCCCATTGCAGTAAGGCCGAAAAAGCAGTCACTCCTCCTCCCCAAAAGCTGTGAACCACCTACAAGCTTCTACAAAGATTCCCACTAAGCACCACACCCTCTGCCAGCAAAATCAGGAGAGCTCCAGGGTTAGACAAAACATCATCCTTTGACCAGATAACTGGGGAAATAAGTGAGGACAACCAAAAGTCATTCACCCTTCCCTTGGCCATTCATAGAATACTTCTTCTCCAGAACAAGCCCGTCTTTCAAAGCCTCACAAACTATGAAGAGCTAGAAGGGGCCTGAGAGATCATCTTGTACAACGCCCTGCTTTACAGAGGCTCAGAGAGAAGAATGGACTACTAGGCCAACATCTAACAGCTACTCAACGACAGCACTAGGATTCAAATTCGGCACTTCCATTCTGAGACAATTTCAATTGAACAGATTTATTAAAGCACCGATTTGCTGAATTCAAAGCAATACGCAGTCTCATCTCTCCTCTCCCTCTCCCCACCCGACAGATGGGTGTTTTTTCCCAGGGAACCTTCAATCTCTTTACCACACTCAAGGCGGAGAGGAAGACGGATTCCCCAACACTGACAAGAGAGTGGTGAGAAGGCTGGAGCAGGCAGGGAGAGGCCCTGACTCTACACCTGAACTGCTGCAAGTTCTTAGCCAGCAACCTGCCTGCCCTCTGTAGGCTTTCATTTCCTCCCCTGTCAAAGGAAGGTGGTGGAATCAATGACCTCTCAGGTCCCTCCCTACTCTAATGTCATTTCTGTGTCCCTTATACACACACAGCGGGTACCTAAATATCTGAACTGAAGAGACCAAAGAAGGTCTGCTTATGAGATTACACGTATGACCTCGGTGGTCCCTCCCTCCCAGCTCTAATAACTGTGGGGGATGGGAGGGGAGGGAGGAGACAAGCAGCAAAGGGCTTCTCAGTCCCCTCCACCATCCCCTGAACATATTTAAGAGAGTGAAGGATTGCCTAGGGACAACACCCTCAGGCAGGTATACTGAGAAAGCTTAAAGATGGTCAGGGTTTGAATCATGCCTTTGCCACTTTGAAGTAATTAATAAATCTCTACTGAATCGGGGCAAGTCTCTTCCCCTGTCTAGGCCTCACTTCCTCATCTGTACAATGAGGGGTTCAGATCTAAGGTCCCTTCCCCTCTAACATTCCATGAGTCTATGAGGTATCTCGTGTGGGGGAAGGGAGGGCATCGAGGGTCTCTCTGGGCCAGCAATACTAAGGGGAATAAAGGGAGGGAGTTGGCCCCAGGGCCAACATCCAGGGGAGTACAGGGTGGGGCTGCACAGGGTTCAGAACCAGAAGACCTGGGTTCCAATCTTGGCCCTGCCACCACCTGTGCAACCTGAGACGGTAATTTTCCTGCTCAATTCCACAATTATAAAAAGATTCCATTTAACTTAAAATTATTCAGAAAAACAGCCAAAGCAGCTTATTTTACAGAATTCTAAGAACCTCTGCAGTCTGACATTCCGTGTCTACTCAAACCCTGACCTGCCCTTTACCAAACACACACAAGTGGTGGGAGGGGCCAGAGGGTGTCTTTTTCAGACTCTAGACCTCACAGCGTCCTCCTCTGCAAAGCCAGGGGAATCTCTGGATATCTGATCTCCACGGTTCTTTCCAATTCTATCTGACAGCGTACAACCTTTCCCAGCACCCATCGCCATCTCTACAATGAAGGGATTAAGGGGCTAGAATGGACCACTAAGCAAGCCTTAAGCTCAAATGGGAGTCCACCAAGTCTATACCTTGCCCAGTATCTCACATCCCACACTCCCAACGCCACACACCTCTGCAGCCAATCCCCTTCTCTAGGCCTCAATTTCCTTCCTCCTCTGTAAAATAAAGGGGTTGGACTTGCCAGAACCCTGGACTAACCCTGACAGGCTGTCTACTTAAGTCTCTGAAGACCCTAACTTGCCCCTCTTCACATGCCTCACCCCTGATTCTTGGGGGCCGGGGGAGAGAAGTCCCAGTGTCCACAAGTGGGCTGGACAACATGCTGTCTAAAGTCCCTCCCATCTCTGACAGATGGCCGGCCAGGACTTGCCCCTTCCCCTTGGGGCACAAGACCCTTCTCTCGGGGTCTGCAGAGAGGGGGACTGGATTCCAAGCTCAGGAGGGTCCCTCCCCCCTTCCAGCTGAGACAATATACAGAGTCGGCCCCGCCTCTTCCCACGCGCCCCAGGTGGGACCCCCTACCCAAGGGTGGACAAGCAGCAAACTGGGGTCTCTCCCCGCTCAGATAGTCTAGCGAGTCCTGGAAGACCCCTTCCCCACTGCCACGGGTATCTGGGAGGGCAAGTTCCTCCTCTCTGGGTCTCAGTTTCCCCTCTCTACAAAGGGGTGGGACTCGGCTGATCCCGAGGGTCTCTGCTCGCTGGGAGGGGCTCCCTCACCCCGACGCCCCAGGGAGACACCAGCCTCGATTCTCCACCCCGGCTCCCACCCGCGGGCCTCAGTTTCCCTGGCCCGGCCCTCACTCACCAGGCCCCGAGGGCGGCAGCAGACGCTCGGACAGCGGCGGCGGCAGCGGCGGCAGGGGCGGGGGCAGGGGCAGCAGGACATGGCGGAGCCCCCGGTGGGCCGCGGCCTCGGCTCCTCCGCCCCCAGCCAGGGCCCCCTCCCCCTGCCCTCCCTCTTCCTCCTCCTCCTCCTCCTCCGCCCTCGACGCGACGCTCGGGCCGCAGGGAGGGGGGCGGCCTGCGCGGGCGCCCCGGGGCCGGGCCGGCGCGTGCGTGTCTCGGCCGCGGGCTGCTCCGGCTGCGGCTGCGGCTGCGGCTGCGGCTGCGACTTCGGCTGCGGCCCCGGCTCCGGCTCCGGCTCCGGCTCCGGCTCCTCCGCCGCCGCTCCGCCTCACCACCACAACAACATGGCGGCGGCGGCCACACAGAGCGCGCCCACGAGACGCCGGGCGGGAGCGCGCACCGGCGCCAGCGCGAGCCCAGCCGAGCAAAACCGAGCCGAGCCGAGCCGAGCTGAGAGGGAAGGAAGGAGGGAGGGAGAGAGAGGGAGGCCTGGGGCGGGGCTACGAGCGGCACGGACACGCCCCCTCCGCCTCCTGGCCCACCGAGAGCCTCCCACCGCACTGAGAGAGGGAGAGAGCGCGCGCGCGCCCCCGGAAGAGGCGGTGCCTGGGCGCGACGGACACGCCCTCACCTCGGCCTACGTCAGGGAGAGCCCGAGGGACGCTGAGACTTTAAGAAGCCCCTGTGAGGGGCGGGGCCGGAGCTCCCAGGACACGCCCCCACCCCAGCTTCTGTCGGAACCCGAAAGACAGGACCTTCAGAACACAGACCACGCCCACCTCCAGGGCTAACACCCCCCCTCCAAAAAATGGGCCTGTGCTCCTAGGTCACGCCCTCTCCTGCACCCTCATAAGAGCCAAAATAAGAGCTCCGAGGCCACGCCCCCTCCAGGACCTGGCTCAGGGAGAGGCTTCTCCTCCGCGGGCGTGTGGGCGGGCTTATTCGGGGGCGGGGTCTTTCTTCACAGAACGCTCCCCCGCCACCTTTCTGGGGGAGGGTCTGGAGAACCCAGAAAGAAGCTCCTAGAATAGACGGGAATAGCCCCGGGAAGGGCGTGGCTTCAGCGCTTAAGTCACGCCCCCTCAGGAGCCTGGAGAGTACTGAAAGACACTCCTCAAGGGGACACAGCCCAAAAAGAGCTCTCCCATCAGAGAGAGGGGAAGGCGGAGGCGGGGCTTGAGCTCTAAAGCCACGCCCCCACCTGGGTCTAGGAATGCCTGAGGTGGATGAAGGAAAGACTTTTCAGAGGGCCTCCAGTCAGTCAGTCAGTCAGTCAACAAGCATTTATTTTTTAAGCTCCTGCTCTGTGTCACCCACGGTGCTAAACACTGGGGATAGCAAAAAAAGGCAAAAAGCAACTCCATCTCTCACTGGAAGCCTTCCCCAACCCCTCAGTTCTAATGCCTTCCCTCTGTTAATTATTTCCTATTTGTCCCGTATATTCCTTGTTCGTATGTATGGCACACATTTGTCTTCCCCATTCGATTGCCAGCTCCGTGAGGGCGAGGCCTGTCTTTTGTCTTTTTGTGTATTTCCAGAGCTTAACACAGCGCCTGGCACATGGCAGGTGCTCAATAAATGTTTACTGATTGATTTCTCTTCTCAAGGAGCTCCCGGGCTAATGGGGGGAGAAAACCTACAGCCAACTTCTGACAGGATAAATCGGAAATGATCAATAGAGGGAAGAGACTGACACGCCTCGCCAAGATGCCATCAGTCCAATCCAGGACAAGACCAGAAGAACGGGACGCATAGGGGGCGGGGCTAGCCCTTTCAAACCACGCCCCTAAAAGAGCCTAAGGATCTAAAGGCCCCGCCCCCAAGTGGGTCTGGAGCGGCCTGAGGAAATCCCTAGCTGGGAAGGGGTGTGGTCTATGGAGATTAAGCCACACCCCTACAAGGGTCTCTCTAAAGCCCCGTACACATCCGAACGGGGCGGAGGCCCAGGGACTAGTGGGGAGCCCCAGGCCGAGGGGGAGAAGCCACCCCTCCAGGGGTCGGAGATAGAAGTCTAGGTCACGCCCCCACGAGAGCCTAGCGAGCACTGAGAACTCCCAAAACAGAGGAGAGGGAAGGGGACGAGCCCTTACTTCAGGGGCGGGGCCTAATTCTCCCTGGACTGCCCACGTAAGGCTTAGAACTAAAACGGCATCCCTAGTGGAGGGGGCAGGAGGGATGGGCAGGACACGCCTCTTAGGGGGCGGAGCCTAAGAGCTTAAGTCTTGCTCCCAGACGTGTTCTCCAGTGGGTACCAGGATAACAGATGGGAAGAAGGGCTAGGCACACGGAGCTGCACTCATTTGAATATCAAAGCACCACCACTACCACCGCCACACCACACCCCACACACCTGCACCAAAGACCCTCCATTTCCTCTCCGCCTTTTCAATTTCTTTTTGTGTGCTCTCTGGCCCCCACTAGATTGTAAGCAGAGGGCAGAGACTGTCCTCCTCTTGTCTTTCTTTTGAAATATGTTTAACATGCTTGCTCATATATAACCTATATTAAATTGCTTAGTGTTATAGGGAGGAGCAGGGAAGGGAGGGAAAAAATTTGGAACTCAAAAAAAATTTCTAAACGAATGTTAAAATTGTCTTTACATGTAATTGGAAAAAAATAAAATGCTATTTATAAAAAGAGAGAGCAAGAGAAAGAATGGGGAGATAGAAGCAACATGGTTCCTGAGTTCAAATCCAGGTTCTAAGGTTGTAACCCCAACCTTAGCAAAATGCCTGGCACATAGTAGGCACTTAACAAATGCTTACAGACTGACTGACTCCCCTTAAGAGCCCATCCAAGAATCACCGAGAAAACAGGCCAGGGAATTAGAAAGTCAAGGAGAGTAGATGAAATCCAAGTTGAAGGGAGAAAGCCAGAGGAGGCAAGAAAATGCAAATGGAGTAGTGGAAATATGAATGTCACCTCCTCCATGAAGCCCTCCTCACTTCTCTGCTACCTCCACCCCCCTTGCTATGATTAGGACTGGTAGATCTAAAGCCCGAAGATTGTAGAACCAGAAAAGAACTCCATCTTACAGAGGAGTAAACTGAACCCCAGCTGGGAGAGGTGATTTACTCAAGGTCATAGAATATAGGGATCACCTTCTCATCTGACCCTCTGGTGGGGCCCAAAGAGCTCGTGTGAATCTAAGGTCGCACAGGAGCAGAGCTGAGATTCTCCCAAATCTAATTCCAGGATTCTTTCTCAGTCCCAACAATAGGAGCTGTCCAGCTACAGAACAGGCTGCCCCTGTGGCTATATAGTCTATGGTAATGGGACGTTTCTAAGTAGAGGCTTGAGGAGAAAGCCCCAGACTTGAAGTCTGGAAGACCAGAATTCAATACTAGCTGGACAAATCACTTCACCTCAGTCTGCCTCAGTTTACTCACCTGTAAAATGGAGATAATAATAGCATCTACTTCCCAGGGCTGCCTTCCAGTCCTGTTTCTATGGTTCCTCTCCTAAAGAACGTTCCAGTCTAATTAGGGAAATAAAACTTTGGCCAGAAGGGAGAAAGGGTAGCACCTGAAATGGAATTTCATACAGGGAAGCCCTGGAATGGAAACTCTCTCTACAAGTCATTTGTGGTCTGAAGCAGATCATTTGTAATCGAAAGGAGTTTTCCCCTTGGTCACATGTCTAGTATTTATCATTGGGAGAACTTGAACACCATCTTTCTGACTCAAAGGCCTCCATGTTGTCCATCATACTATGCTGGCTTTTCACAGAAAAAAAACTTACACATGAGAAACATTTAGAGAATGGGTAGATACACAACATTACTAATATGGAAATATGTTTTACATGGTCGCATGCATATAACCTATACCAAATTGCTTACTGTTATAGGGAGAGAGAAAAGGAGGAAGGGAGAGAGAAAACTTGGAACTCAAAATTTTTATAAAATGAATGTTAAAAATTGTCTTTACATGTAATTGGAAAAAATAAAATGCAATTTATAAAAGAGAGAGAGAGTATAAGGAGATAGAAGCAACATGGCACAGTTTCTAATACATGCTACCAATGTGACTTTGGGCAACCTCTCAGGGCCTCCTTTTTCCTTAACTGTAAAATGAAGAATTTGGACTAGATGTCCTTTGAGGTCCTGAATTCAAATCCTGCCTTAGATACTAACCAACAATGTGATTCTGAGCAAGTTACTTAATCATTCTGTGCCTCAGTTTCCTCCTCCATAAAGTGTGGATAACAGTCCCTCTGAGTTCACATATATAAATGGCTTTGCAAATCTTAAAGGGCTATATAAATGCTAGCTATCACAGTCATACTTGTTATCCTCAAGTATTTCAAATCATGTGGAAAGAGAATTAACTTTATTCTGCTTGGCTGAAGAGGAAGGAAGCCAGAACAATGAGTGGAAGCAGATCTACTGTCCACATGAGATTTACCTGGGTGACCTTGGGCAAGTCATTTTCCTTTTTTTTGTTGTTTTTCAGTCATTTTTCAGTTGTGTCCTACTCCTCATGACCTCCTTTGGGGTTTTCTTGGCAGAGGTACTGGAGTGATTTGCCATTTCCTTCTCCAGTTTATTTTACAAATGAGGAAACTGAAGCAAACAAGGGCTAGTGACTTGCCCAGGGTCACACAGCTAGAAAGTATCTGAGGCCATATTTGAACTCAGGAAGATGAGTCTTCCTGACTCTAAGCCTGGTGCTCTAACTGTTGCACCACCAAGCTGCCTTCATTTTCCTTCTAGAAGCTTTTTTTTCTTCATCTGATGAGGAGGTTGGACTAAATGATCCACAAGGTCCTTTCCAGCTCTAAATCCCATAATTCCAAATTCTTCTGTCAACCAAACTGAAATCTGCACCCATCCTCCTCAACTTCCCACATGATTCTCCCACACAGAACCTCCCAGAACTCATGGGCTCCCTCTCTCGTCCCCCATGACATCTTTCAGATAAGTGAAGATAGTGGGCTAATAGGCTAAGAAAAAGAAGGGAATTCGGGCGTCTTCTAGAGCTACCCTTCATAGGAATTTAGAGTTGCTAGAGTCCTTAGATGTCACCTTCATTTTTATGGATGAGGAAACTGAGGGCCATGAAGGTAAGATGCTTTGCCCAAAGTCATAGTCTCAAAGATCTAGACCTGGAA